ACCAACATTTCACTACTTTTTTCAACAGCTTCAAGTTCAGCTATAGAAAAATTAAAAGGCGCCTGCGCGGCAAATAATATTTAAAATCAGATAAGGGTAAAAAACCTTCCTTAACGGGGACCTTTACTTCGTACTTCGCTCACTCCAGTGAGCTTCCGTCCTGCCCTTGGCCCAAGCCGAGGTCCGAGTCTCACAGGAGACGCCCTTGCGTTAGTCGCGCGATAAACGCCCATTCAGGCCGAGCTTCGCTCGCCAAAACAGCCCAAGCTGAGCTGTAAAGGCCCTTAAGGCCAACAGAGAGATACCTTTCAAAAAAAATCTTTTCGTTTTATAAATAGAGTGACGCAAAGAAAAATACTTAAAAAGGGAAAATGAAATAAATCGTGGTTTTCGAAAAACAAATGCCCTATTAAAAAATTTAATTTGGAATTCCTAATCAAAGAGGAGATATTTGAGGTCAAAGTGGCCAGTACAACAAAACGCCAATTTTATATGTAAGGACCTAATATATAATATATGCATGCAATACAGTCTTAACAATGTACAAAATATGTATTACATTACAAAATTGCTCATACAAATACCTACAATTACAACTGTCATTTCACGGCTTATTATCGACGCTCATTTGAATAAAACCTTGCAAATGGCTGCGATTATTCTATTGCTCAATTCCCTTTCATTGGGTTTAACTACAACCTTTAACTCCGCTTTGTATGTAATTCAAATTAATTACTTGTGAATACTGAATTGCGTATTTATTGTTAACTATACATTTCAGTTTGATTACTCTCTATCGATTTGGAGCAAGGATAAATTATTCAAGTTAATATTACGTTAGGAATGATTCGGAACTTCGTTAATCTGATATTTTTTTTTAATTAGTCTTCCTTCTTAGTAGCCAACACAACATATGGAATATTTTGCTATGCATAGAAACTGTTCGCTTTTCTCTCCATAAAAAGATGAAAAAATAATCTAATTTTTCCGGCCTAGTTTAGTTTAGGAAGTTAGCTTATACTTTTATATGGACACGGAAAGTCGGTATTATGTTGAAGTATACGTCACACTTCTACACTAAAATATCTGCGCAAACGGCCAGTCTTATTTTTTCTGCTGTTATATAGGGGGCCGATGGCTGGCCATGCGTCATGCTCGTGAACGGGTGCTGCTTGTGGTAACTGGTCGTACTTGAATTCGTGTATGCGGTGATGTTGGTTGTTTCAACTATGTGTTTGCGTGTTGTTCCCACGAGAATGTAAGTGCGTGCTCCTATTTCACCATGCCTCCTGCTGATAGAGGACAAGTCTTTGTTTTTTTTTTTAATTTATGTTATTAATATTAATTACTTGATATGTCATGTGGAACATGGTGTAATGGCTGCAGCTCCTTAAAAACGTTGTGTAAAAAAATGGCGATTAAAAGAGTGGCGGAGAGTTTATTGCCAGTTATTCTCTCGCGTTCTACGCCCTTGATTTGAGAACTGGCAGTAAATGTAAAATTAGAAGCATTAATATGTGTTTATATACTGACGAGTCATAAGTGTACATTATGTTACCTGTATGATTAAATGATTTTTTACTTTTTACTTTACTTTATAGCCAAGGCGTAGTAAATGTATAACATAGCAGTATAATACAAAAAATTACATAAATAAAAAAAAATTAAGTAATTTTTGTTAACCTTTATTTTGTGTAATTACCTTTTTTTATTAAAGAATGTGATGTTATTATGTGTTGCTTTGAGGGTAGTTGATAAAAGAGCTGAAGTCCAAACATCGTCGAACGGTTATTTCAATAGATATAACAAACTGGGTTTTATGGGTGTGTTAAATATGAAGTTCCTTTTTGGGTATTGTGTCATTGTAGAGCTATTATCTATATATATATATAAAATGCTGTTATTTTATCTTGCTAACTCGAGAATGGCAGGACCAATTTGCCTTATTTTGATCTTGAAATATTTATGAAAGTTCTCGGCAGGAAAGTAACCTGTGAGAAACACATAAGCATAAAGAATTTAATTTTCCAATAAAATTTGTTTTTGTTCCCTTATATCACTTACCACACTACAAACAAGTAATAAAGAACGAAAGAAATTCATTTGGAGCTGTTTTAAATTAGGACTATGGACAATTTGAAAATATTGTCAAACTTTTAACATTGCTTCTTAATTTTTTTGGCAGTCCATATAATTATTTAAATGCACGTCGAGCTGATCACGTCGAATGAATGGTTATAACCAAAACAAGACTACATATTTTTTAATTATATTTACATATACATACAGATAAATATAAAAGTCACTTGTTTTTTACAAATATATTAAAAATCTGAAATCCAATAATCATATTTAAGACTGAACAGAATTGTGAATTCATCAATTAAGCTGGTTCACTCGACCATCATCAGACTTGCAAATAGTCAATTTTTCCATTTATATATCTTTGTATTTTTATATTTTAAAATAAATCAGTGGCGCTACGACCGTTTTAGATCTGGGCCTCAGATTTCTGCATCTGTTTAATGATTCTAATATCTAAAAGGTGATAAGCCTCCTGTGCCTCCTGTGTCAGACACGCGCCATAAACTTTTTGGGTCTAAAGCAAGCTGGTTTCCCCACGATGTTTTCCTTCACCGAGCGAATGTTAAATAGAAAGAATGTCCATTGGTCCAAAGCCTGGGATCGAACCTACGACCTCAGGAATGCAAGTCGCATTCTGAGGACACTAGGCCAACACTGCTCAATTTTTATCTTTTACTGATGGATAAAATTCAGAAATGTCTAAGTGTAGTTTAGCCTATGGGCTACACACACTAACAATAGTATATTTTGTTGTTTAAAATATCGCTGTAATGTTCTTCCAAAAAAACTACAAAATAGGATAAGCAGGCCTACCCTGTAACCTTACCACGTATTTTCATTGAGACATTGACGCAATTAAAAGAATTACATTTAAATTAACGTAGGCATTATTATTGGAATCGGAACTTTGAGAGTGCTTTTTGTATCTAATTAATAACTTAATCGTTCCATATCGGTTTTAAAGAGTAGGCGTGCTGATTCTCATAGTTTGATGTATATTTCAGATTGCTCTTTCTGTCGCTACTCCTACATTCAACGCACGGCTTCGGCAATGAAGGACTTTTTGGATCAAAATACCCAAACGGTAAGGGGACGGTTTAGGGAGAAGGACCCCCCTCCCCCCCCAAATAGGCGGGGGGGGGGGGGGGGGGGGGGGGGGGGGGCCGTTTTTTACCCCCCCCCCCCCCCCCCAAAAGGGGGGGTTAGAAATTATATAGAATTTTACAATCAAAGGCATTTTAATGCAAATTCAACTCGAATTTCTTATGACCCTTAAACATTTTAAACAATGTTATATTCTTCTTGCATGCTTAGTGGCTATTGCATATAACATAAGACTATTATGGGTTTGGTTCCCGGTAGAATAAAAACTGTTTTGAATTTGTTGGCACATTTTAAACAAGTGCTAACCGCCGGCCATGGATACATGTATCACCTCTACTGATGAACGGTTAAGAAATACCTGGAAGGAAACTGAAAGTGGTGATGCGTTTAAAGACTTTAAAGGTTGCCTTAAAATCTCAACGAAATTTGAATGAAAGAAATTAAATGTTTTTAATAAGAAATGATTTCATTCTAAAACATTGTAATAAATCTCTTCTTACTAAAAGACTCAAATTTTATTGTTTGCATTATTTTATTGCATTTTGTTACGTTTAGAAACCATTTCTAACAAATGACCAAAGATGTTTTTTTATAAACACTGTAAGCATTTGATCTACTTCATATCTAATAAAACATCTCTCTTTTCTTGTTTTTTTTGTTTTTTTTAACGATTGCAAGGAGGGAAATTATTTGCACCATTATTGTAGAGTGATGGGAATATTTTGTGACAGGCTATCGAATTAATTTGATAAAATTCTGTCTGTCATTAACTTAAAAAAACCGAAGGTGAAAGTTATCATTTCGAGTGATTTTTTTTCTTATATATTCTTATTCATACCAATGACTGGATACTCTAAGTTCTAGCACAGGTTTTTCCTAGATGTGCGGATTTATTATTTTAAATGGAATTCTTCATGTAATTGTGCGCTAAAAACACTTTCCGGAAGCCTAATCCAGTCAGCCACTACTCGGTTTGGTAGAAAGTTCTTTAGGGAATTTTTATTATATTGAGTGGTCTACATGCTTAAAGAACTACCCCTTAAATGTGTGTTCTCACTAAAATTAAATAGCTTCTCAATTCCTGGAACATTATAATAGCCAGTAAGGATTTTATAGGTTTCAATGAGATTCCTCTTAATCGCCTACTAAATCAGGCGCTCATTAGGCCGACATATGTATAATGTGAATTCACGGTTACACTGCCCGTATATCCCTTCTTTACCGATGCCCTTATTTTGAACCACGACACCTATTTACTACTGTTTACTGTTCCGTTCAAAGCATTGCTAATTGTTCGCCTGAAACGAACTCTATTTCGTTTTACACCCCAAGTTGGAATTGAGGTGTAAAATAATCGTTTCAGATGAAACGGTACCGTAACGTTTATTGACAGAAAATCTGCGAGAAATGAACTTAACTTATCCGTTTTGTTCTTTGTTAAATTATATCTTGAAAGAACTATTTTTTATACTTACATTTAATTTTCATAAAGCGTTTAATATATTTATTTCTTATTAAGAAATTAAAAAACCTTAAGCTTAAATTAGCCTACATATTCCATTGTTTATTATACTTGCAAGAATAAGTCTGTTCACAAGTCTTTTATAAAGTGAATTTTTAATAAAATTTATAAGCAGACATGAAGCTATTTTAAAATAAAAACATAAAGGTGACCATACCACTTCATTATCGTAATAATTAAATGTGTTTTTAGGTAACACGCAATGTTCAAAAAATTGAATAATTAATATTTTTATAACTTTTTAAGTCAACCACAATTTTTAACAGCGTTCCAAAAGGCCACTACCAGAATGCGTCGCTTATCTGCTGGTAATTAAATTTTATACAGAATTTTTAAAACGCAATATTATTAATCTACTAAGAAGGGTTTTATATAGAACCCCAACTGGCAGGAGGCTCACCTGATGTTAAGTGATACCGCCGCTCATTGACACTCTCAATGCCAAAAGGCTCGCGTGTGCGTTGCCGGCCTTTTAAGAATTGGTAATATCAATATCTAGGCGTCTATAATATATTTATAGCAAAACTAATACTCATGTTTTTAATTAGTTTGACCAACTACCGTACCTAATTATTATAATCATCGTGTGATTTAAATTTCCATTGGCTTTACTTAGATTATTAACTTTCACGTGTATTAAGCGAAATAACCTAGCGAATACGTAGCAATTTCATTCTATTCCAATTTCGAAAACTTATAACGAACCTCGAAGCAATTCAAAGCACATAAAACAAGGATAAATTATACGTTTCCGTTTTTCAGATATCCCCGAATACGACTTGCTGCACGCTATCGGAGTTCCATTTAGCAATCCGAAGACCCAGTACTTCGATGAAGGCCTCGACGGTTTTCCGGCTTACGGGCTCAAGCCGGGATCTGATATTAAATCTCCGTATCGACTCTTTATGCCCGAGAAACTTTACGCTGAATTCTCTATAACGGCTACTGTACGACCGGCAAATAAGGACGGCGGATTCCTCTTTTCTGTCGTTAACCCTTTGGAAACTGTTGTTCAGCTCGGTGTACAGCTTATACCGTCTGGTCCCGGGTTGACGAATATTTCTTTGCTATATACAGATGCGAATATTTACGCGTTATCTCAAACAATCGCTTCGTTCGTGGTACCTTCGTTTTCTAAGAAGTGGACACGGTTCGCATTGAGAGTAACAAATGATAATGTAACGTTATTTCTTAATTGCTTAGAGTTTGATACGGTTGTTGTTAAGAGGAATCCGCAGGAATTAGTCTTTGATTCTGCTTCGACTTTGTACGTTGGTCAGGCGGGTCCCCTCATCTCTGGAGCTTTCCATGTAAGTACCTAATTATATCCTTAATGTTTAAATAACTTTGGACTATTATAGAATGTTGTATCAATACACAAAAATGTTTCAGTATATTTTAAGATAGAAGATTTCTTACCATTGCTATCTTTAATATATTCAAATTTTAATTAAAACTTACTTTATAAGTATAAGGTGTCAATAATTTTGGCTGACAAGATAAATATCGATAAATATACATATCTAACGACCAATAACTAAACCTTCACAGATTGTGTGAGTTTAAATCTTAAAAATACCGAATAAACGAAACTGTATCAGAACATTTGTACCAATTCTGGGTAAACTAATACCAATCCCTTGAGGTCCATTACCATCGGAACTTTTCTATTAAGTTGAACTTATCCGAAGTTAGTATCGTTTTCCCACCAACTACTTTATGTAATTATGTGTTAACTTGTATGGGATGTTGTGTTATAATTCAATATTGCCAGGGTTTCGGTTTGCGGAGAGGATTACAAATTATAACTAAGTTTCTTGGCGTAAATATCTGTTTTTTATTCTTCAATTTAGTGGATTCGAAATAAGTGAACCTGGATTTGTATGTAATGCATAGAACAGTGGAGTATTCTGATATGTTAAATATCAGTAATTTGCGGCGCATTTCTTTAAAAAAAATATTTATTTACTAATAATGATCATTTGCATATATGTGGGAAAGCTTCGAGCCTGATACTAGAGAAATGGAAGAATTAATGAATGATATGTGAATCCTTTGTAACATTTAAATTTCGCGCCATTTGCTCCATTGACTTGAGTTGTCTTTTATGTCAAGTCTGTTTCTCGTTTGTCTTTGCCCTACTCTCTACTCTGTGAACATTACTAGCCGTTGTATTGTTTTTCAAACTAAATAAAGTCTAAGTTATTTTCTACATATAAAACAACTTGTTTCCATTAAATCTTCACTTTCTAGACTTAATGATCACGATAACTTTATCTGGATGATACGTTATATAATATAATATACAAACATACTCCAATATGACAAAAGAGCTAAAGAAAATTTATATATACGTGATGTGCGACACAATAATGTCCCATTCACAACGACATAAAAATCTATACACCCTTACGTCATCCATCACATCCTATTCAGATCCCAAATATTCCCTTTTTCGAAGATTCCACGTCCCAAGATTGTAAGGGATGCGTTTATCACGTGTTTTCGGAGACAAAGCTTTGCTGAATACACATATAAATAGTTTTATTGAACCTTTCTTGCTTTAATATAATACTAGGTTATCTTTTTTATCTCTTATGTTTTATCGTTACAACCCAGAATGGTTACAATAAGGGATGAACAAAAATAAATGGGAGAATTTAATCTAATAAAATGATGCAAATTGAATAGAATCAAAGTAAATGATGGCCTTTATTTTGAATTACAAATTACTTGTAATAATTACACATTAAATTATATTTGGCGTGAATAATTGAATGTACTTAGAATATTGTACATTTCTACGTCTCGAGTTTAGAGGGAAATAATGATCGAAGATTCTATTCAAGAATCAATAAAAAGATGGCCTATATATTGAATACCAAATTAATTGTAATAATTACACATTAATTATATATTTAGCGTTAACAAATAAATGTACAGAGAACGTTGTACATTTTTACGTACAATTTATCCTATAGTAAAATATTACTGAATTAACCTAATAAGGTTTTTTATTTTGTTATAACTGTTAAATAACAGTCTTTAAGTGTAATAAAATATCGGTGGTTGAATAGAATTACACAAATTACATAACAAAGTTGTTGCTCTAATTGAAAAAAATATTATTATCAAATAATAATAATCAAATCAAATATTATACCCACAGAAAATCCATAAAGAATACATAACCATTCAAATTTCGAATTACGGAATGTGATATGCAAATAGGATAAATAAAACTTGCGAGAAACTTTACCTGGTAACCAGCATCCGAGCGCAGTGCCAAGAAAAACAACTCGGTTTCCAACACTTCCCAAACTTTGGCCTCGTTAGCATTTTGGCTTAGATGCTGGAATTATAACTACCGTGGCAATTGAATAAGCTGTTTTAGTTTAGAAACTGCGTGGAGAACATCCCTTGAAATTTATAATAACAAAAAAAAATGTGAGCCGTCACGGGACGCCTGGAAGATGTGAAACATCGACATTATTTTGTTAAAGTAATATGCAGAAAAGATCAGATTGAGATAGGAACTAAATATGTCATAATGATAAAATAAAATATTAAGATTTTTTTTCCAGGTAACGATTGAATAAACATTTATTTTCATTAATTACAAAAATTTACGAATTTATTTCAAATCGTGACTACTTAATTTGTTTAATCAGTGACTTCGAAATATACACACCGTACACACTACTGCATATAGACTGTATATATATACTATCATATAGCGTGGCGACGCCTCGCCACGGCATGCGTCGTCACGCCAGAAATCGGTTTTACGTGCGGCTATAGATGTTTCACATCAAAAATATCCCCTTATAAATCTGCTACAAAGCTTTATAATATTAGCTGTGACATCAGACAGGTGCTTTAATTAAAATAGTACACTAATTAAGTTTTAATAAGGAATATTGTATTCTAGTGATGTGGTTAAAACTGTTGATACAATAAAATACTTTAGAATCTTACAATACACCTCAGTATGAAATTCCATAATTTCTATTAGGCAATCGGAAATTATTTTTATATAGCCATAAAATACATGCAATCCCAAGCATAATTTTTGCTGCTGCTCTTTCAAATCCCCAATTATTGAAAATATATAATATGACTTCGTTTAACGGCCGTCACGCTTTCTGTTTAAAATTTTTTTTGCTGTTCTCGGTATGGCAACGCAATATTTCGTAATTCAAAATTTCAAATACTCACGAGGAATTCGTTGGAAAACTCGTAGTTTTTTAGCATAAAGTATATATGAGAACAAGCGAAGTAGTTAAATATAACTTTTATTACGATTTACATACATTTTGGGCTTTTAGCACCATAATGTTTATCATTATAGCTTGTTGACAAATATTGAAAGAGATTAAAGCTTTTAAATTTTCTTCCCAGTAAAAAAGCTCCTCCAAGTAAGCCATCGACTCGAGTGAATTTAGATTCAGGATAACTTGTATCGCGAAGTTTGCATTCGCTAGGGGATTGAACGAGATATCATTTGAGAGCTGTCGACGCAACTCACGACACCAAATTAGAAGTGGTATGATTTTACAAACCGTACGAAAGCTTTAATAAGATATGGAACTTATAGTTAACAGCATTTTATAATCGATAATATGACACTGCGTTATATATATTTTTTTGTCATTCATCTGCAGTCAGCCTCTTGGATTTATCAGATTTTACGACATGATTTTTGAGACAACTATACAATTTGCATGCACAAGTATTTTTAATACTCATTAAATGTATAAAAAATAAAATTTAATCGCAGTAAATTTAATAAGATTTTTATTATTATTGAAGTAATTCTACAATATATTAAATATAGTCTCTTTTATCTATTTATTAGGTTATAAAAATATACTCCTTTTTATAACGGTCTATAATATAATAATTGATAGATTGAAATTTGTGTCTATATCTCAAGCAAAATAGGTTTAATTATTTTACCTAAGAACTACCAAAAGTTTAAGGAACAAAAATGCGACGTGCTTCACTCAGATTAGTTTAATAAAAGCAGAAATCGATTTTAGTTCTGCTCAGACCAGAATTCCGATGTTAGTGCATAACATTTCATAGCTTATTGACTTTCTCAGAAAGCATTTGATTCGTAACCAGTACACTGAGTTTCCATTATCGTGTTGCTGGCTAACGCGTACAATAATATCTATTTAAATCGGGGATGAGTTAGAGTCTTTACAACGCTCTATGTATAAACAACATAAACAAAATTTTGAGTATTCTAATAGTAAATAAAACCTTCTTTTGTTTTCATTAGCACGCAATGCGTGACGCGAACCCTTTGCTTATTTTAAAGTTGATTTAGCAAGTATAACACTGACTGTCATGAACGAATTATAGTACCGAACTATTTATCTTTATTTATCTATCATTATACATAATGATCTAGATGGGGCAGAGGGCATCTACGGTGAGTCTCCATTGCGTTCGGTCTTGAGCCTCGTATTTCACCTCGCTCGAAGTCTTTCCGTCTTGCTTTCTTTGCCTCTTGTGTAACTGTACGACGCCAGGTTTGCTTGGAAAAGCCGGAATCTCTTCAGGGTGTTTGGCCTATCCATTTTCACTTACGTCACTTAATCTGCTGGCAAATCGGGGTTTCTCAGCATTGTTTACATATTCATTACCTAATTAATTATCATTCATACTTATTAATATTTCTTCCGCTTAATTTGTCCTACCCAAGTCTCAATAGTGCAAAGGCGAAAACATGAACTTTTTATTCCTATTAATGTTTGTAAATGAATTATTTATTATAACAGATGTAACGCTGTTAATATAACCGACTAGATAATTAGTGACTATTGTTTGTTTTGATTGCTCCGTGTGTTCAAAGGGGTTGAACGTGTTAAAATCCATAAACGTGATGTTTGGGTTATTTTTACCCCATTTTGTGGGAATGTTTTTATTACTGGTTATAGAGGATTGTTGGCCTAGTGCTTTCAACGAGTGACTCTCATCCTTGGGGTCGTAGTTTCATCCCAGGCTGTGCACCTATGTACTTTGTGTGTGTGTGTGGGCATTTAACACTGCCCGTGGCGGTGTGTGTCACAGTTTGATCACCAACTTGCGTATTACATATTAATAATCACGGAACATATACCAAAATCCATATATTTGTAGTTTAAATGAATGTATACATGTTTAAATTGTATATATTGGTATACATAAAATTATCAACGTAATGAATATATCGTAAAAGAATTATTAATAAATTTATACAAACTGTCAACTTAAATTAAAGGTTTAAAAGGTTAAACTCTGTGCTATTCTATATCTAAATTTTAACTGGCAA